CCCAGCAACTGGAACAAAGAAAGTCACGTCTCTACTCCTCAAATTGTGACTCACTTCAAATGCTGCACAGTTGCGTACCATTTATACCTCCGAGAACAGCACCCTTCTCTCTCGCTCTCTTTTGAGCTCAGAGGTGGGGAAGGATGAAAGACAGACCTAATTACCTCTTTTTTTTTTTTTTTTAATTTATTTCTCAAACGGGACATGCAAAGCAGCTAAATTCTTCCTCAGGACCCTTAACCACTGCCCCTCTTTCTGCCTCTTTGCAACACAAACCACCTCATGGAAAAAAAGTAAGAGGGGGAACGTATTTCTCACATTAACACTTGCACAATAGGGTTGCCATTTCTACAGATTTCCTGCTTTCCAACTACAACGAAAAGAGTTATTAGATTCTCGTTTTCTCCCCAAGAATTCTCTCACATAAGATGGATTATCTTACCATGCCAAAAAAAGAAATCAGGCAAATGAATTAAGTCAATTTCAACTATTTTCTTTTACTCACTGTTGCAATGTTTCAAAGCCCTGTTCCTTGTACAGCAGCTCTTGCTTCATCTGAGAGAGTTCCCTCTTCAGCTTCTTAACCTTGTGTGTTAAATCAAAGCAAAAGTTAGAAAATTCCTCTGCTAAACGGCGTTAACACATGGCTTTGAACACTTAATGTATTCTCTACATCAGATGAGACTAAAAAAAGAGAGTAAATTGCTCTACTGACACATATTAAAAACAAAAGGATCTGTTCTCTTCCTGATGTCTATTGGCAACATGCTTTAGTATTAAAGGGACACAAGCAGATTAAATCACATTCCTTATTTGTATCGATACCACACTGTGTTATTAAACCTGAGAGAACTTTAACATGTAATTTACTTCTCACTTGTTAAGCATGCATTCCAACTGTCCTACAGGGACGTGCCTGTTTATTTTCTGGCTTATTATATTTTCATTTTTTCATTCCAGGAAACTCTCAAGTCATTTGCACTGTAAAAGATGAAGTGTGGACTCTTCTTCCCCTCCCCACCCCCCTCTTCCTATGCACCATCCTTTCTTATAAAGCTTTACAGACACTGGAACCCTAAATATATAATTCACATTCATTTAGTTCAAAAGACAACAATCACTAACATTTGGATCACAAATATATGCGTCTATTTCATAGAAATGTCTTTGGCAAAACATTCCCTACTTTCCCTAAATTTGCATATTCAATTGCTTTTTAATGTTAATACTGCTATTTCAGATGTTAGCAGATATGAGTACACTACAAAATATTTATGAATCAAGATTAAATTTAAAAATCCTCCATGTAATTTTTTAAGTCTTACTTCACAAACATACTAAAACAAGGTTTCTGGACCACCTATAAAGGACTGTACTTTAATACAAATTAAAATTAGTCCTCAGCATACACAGAGAGGCAGGAG